TCTTTCATTTGTAGCAAGTTCTCAGTTGTCTCAGCTTTGTCCTTCATTATTAATGCAAGACCATTAGTAACATGATCATAGCAGAGAAACTGTTGGCAGTTCTCTTTCAGCTTTTCAAAGGTGACTTCTCTGCTCCTGTTCTGATGATCAGTAGTACTGTTTGCTGTTACTTTGAGTTTCTCTGTGCTCTATTTCATCCTTATTTCAAAGTCCAAGTGGAAAGCCTTCCCCCTTATCATCTTTTCCTATTTTCATGACATTAGGTGTTTCTCAGATTCACTACATCTTTATTCCCTGTGTTAATATTTCCAGGTTTTAATATTATTTCCAGTTACTTTATCTATTTGCAACACCACTTCTGAACCTTCTTTGCTCCTTTTTTGTTACAGAAGACTTCTCTGCATGGATCTTCTAGCAAATAGGTTTATATTCTGGCTTTAAACATTACAAAATATTGCAAAAGTACTTATATATTTTTTCTATTTCAAATTTTCCTTTACTTACTTTTTTTTTAATATCATTCATTTTCTGTTCTATTTATTACATAAGGGGAATACTTTATGCTTTCCAAATATACCTTTTTTCTCCTCATTTCTCAAAACAGTCATAATTCCACACCGTGAAAAGAATAATTTTTCTTTTTTAAAATATGTCACATAAAAGCAACCAGAACTAATTCTTGAAATTATAGATCATCAATTCCCTGCCTTTTCTAGTATTTTCTGTATTTCTAGTATTACAAAGACTGGGTTCTCTGAGATCCTTCCAGTTGTGACCCACCTCTTTTTCAAAACAACTTTTCCCCCTTCCCCCATGTCTGCAGGCCTGTGCGTCTTCATTAATATATTCAAACTTAATCTCTTCCATCTGGCAGCCCATCCTTTGGGCTGCAGTCTGAGGATCTTTTGTGGATGTGTGTGCTGCTACTCTCCACTGTTTGTTTTTGCCACTAGTTGCTGTAGGTGGGCAAACTACACCTTGTTCATGAACAGGGACTGGGTTTCACAGCCATGCAGCTGTTGTCACAGATGCTGAATGCGCACAGGATGGACGGAGACTTACAGTTTAGGACAGCTAGTATTCATAAATCCAAGAAGAAACCCTTCCCATGTTCTTCATTGCAGCTAGGGCCATAGGAGTTAACAGAAAATCTCTTCAAAAGTTGTCTTTTAAATGTTCAAGCCACGGAGATGTGAAAAGGCAGGGAGAGCTTTGCTCTGCAAGCTGACTTGTAATTCCTCTTAATTGTTTTGCTGAGGAATAGCATAGCACTCAACGGCTTCTCCTCTGAGAGGATAATTGAGCTACCTGAAACACTTTAGTCTGTCTCAATAATCTCTGTCCCCATATACATGGAAGGTGTGTGTGGTATGGCAGAATATTATGCAGAATTCTAGGCAGATCTGAGTTTTAGTTTGCTCCCAATTTATCAAAGTCCATCTTGGCTACCCAAGGCAGCGTAACACCAGTTTGCCTTTCCCTCCCATGCTGGCCAAGAAAAATGTATTTGAAGTACAGCATACACCTCAAGCTGTCAAGTGGGTACCAGTGATGACAGTGAAACAAAATTTGTAATCCTGCAGTATGTAGTACAATAGGGCTTGTTCCATTAAAATATGTATTTTCTTTTCTGTATTAACTATATGAAATACTGCACATCTGAAATTTGGGATTAAGTTACAACACCATACCATTCCAAATAAATTTTTTCATTGTTAGTAGCCTGGTAGTATTACTATTTTCATGCCAGTTCTCATTATGATGAGAAAGGTTTATATTGGATTATACTGTAGTTTGAAAGGAAATCATCTCTGACAGTTAAACTCATCATGTGGAGTTCTTTGAGTTGTGTGTTTTAGGGTACATTTTAAATAGCTGTTCAGTTAAAGGGATATGGATATATTTCTGGTTTTTTAAAAGTCTTTAGAAGTAGCTCATAAATGATTCTATAAACTTTTAGTTCTTAAAAAAAAATTCATTACATTGTGCTTAATATGCACTTCCTCATTCAAACAAGCCTGATTCAAAATGTCAGTTGACTGGTATAAGAAATGGAGGAATGAGAAATTACATGTAATCTAGTTGGCTGTGGAAATAAAGATTATTAATAGTATGAATTATAAGGAAAAGTAAAGCTTATTGAAATATTGTACTTGTCACAGAAATAAATTACTAAAATTACTTGATTTAGTCAAGTCACTTTGGGGAAAAATGCATTGTAGCAGAAAGAGTTATGGGCGATTTGCAGACATGCTCTCTTCTAGGACTGACTTGTGCCTAGTACAGAATTAGAAAATATACTTCTGTTTAATTTACAACCATCATTTAGAACTACCTAACAGCTACGTAAAGTCCTCAAAAATCTTAAAGCCTGAGTAATATCCACAGGATTAGAATATAAGTATTTCTAAAGTATGTAATCTATGGGCTAGACAATTTAACACTGATTCAGTCCATAACGCTGGACTTCTAATGCAGGTTAAATTCTTAATTTTAGGTTAGAACTGCTGCCACAGTCTTCTCTTTACTAGTATTTTTAATCTAACCTAGAGATGTAATAATACAACATCTAAGGAAAATCACACCATTTTTTCTGCCTGTTATTCAAGTGATGCAACTCATTAAAAACTTCCTGTAAGCAGAGATCCATCATGTTTTGAAGTGTCGGGTTTCTTTCTAACAACAGAGTAGGAATAGTATCTTGTCTTTTTGTTAATGATCTTGCTCAAAGAGTCAAAAATAAATCTTTGATCACTAGTTAAAGTCCAGAAACCTTTTCTTTAGGGTTGAGATACAAACTTCCCGTACCTGGAAGCAAGCAGTAACATTGTGGGATAGACTTCTGTAGAAAGCTGTAAGAAACTTCAGTTCTATTTTTAAAAGTCATATAATTTGTGATTAGAAATTATTCTCCTTTTTTCTCAAAAATTTTAATTCTGCACCACTATTAAGTATTTCAAGCTTCAATCCCTGGTGAGTTTGCAATGTTTTTTGGATCTGCAAAATAGACTTAATCCTATGACAATTTCATCACTTTCTTACTTAACACGTCATTAAAATGGTGGCTTTAAAATCTGGTTTACTTTAAATTGAGAATATACAGTAATCTTCAGACTGATTAATCAAAGTAATGAATTGCCAGATTAAACACAGAACAAATTAAAAATGTAGTTTTTTAGTCTTTGAATATTTTTTAATTTCATTATGTTTTTTTATTCTTACATAGATCACTTATCAACATAAGAGTGTTTTTTTAATTGCTGCCAGTACACATAATTTCAGAGATCTCCTTTTTTTTAAGAGTTTCATTAATATTTTTAGTTCTGTCTTATCATGACTTACTCTCATATGGAATTAAAGTGGGTAAATTTCTTGCCTTTCAAAAAACCACTGAAGTTGCCTCTGCACTGCTTGTAAATGAGTAAAAATTCCTGTTCTGCAAGGCAGAAATAAATGTAGGACCTTCACAGAGAACTCAAGAAGCATACAGTGAAGATTCCATTCAGATTGCAAAAAACACCACCATTGACTAAAAATTACTGTATGCTGCTTCTAAAATTTGTTAGTGGCTAGAAGGTAGGATGCTAGATCCACTCTCTGTGGTGCCTTGCCCTCCAGAACTGATCCAGGTCTCATGACAGCAGTTAGTAAAGTTGGACAATAACTAATGAAAGCACTGAAGAATGTTTTTTTCTGTGTAAAGAAATGTAAAGAAATTTTCACTGTAAAGAATGAAAACGTCTGTCCTACATTAGAATATTTCTACTTTTCCTCTGGAAATGTCTACCAGAGCATAGCTTGTCAAAATGAAGGAAATGTAGAAAACAGTGGCTGAAATAACAAGTAGAAAAATCCAGCAAAGACATAGACCATACTCATGAGTTGTAAACTCTCTTGTCTTTTTTTTTTTGTCTTTTGATCACACACATCCAGGGCATTATAGATAGATCGAAAATTACTGGTTTAAAGCAGTCGCTCCCTGGTGAGGGTCTACAAGGTCTTGTCCTGCAGAATAATTTTAAGTGTATAGTGTGTTCAATTATGAGTTTGATGATAAGGATGCATCCACAAACATTTTGCATTCTTCCTAGTGATCCAAAAAGCTTTTAAAATGTTGGCTTAGAATGCAGCTATGCCCAAATAACTTATAAAAAAAACATATGGGAGGTTTGTGTTGAAAAAGTCAAGTTGTCTGGAAGTAGAGCTGCTCAGTTCTTTAGAACAAAAGTTGAATACCAGATGGTTATATATGAGTACATTTTGGCTTTAATATAGATTAACAATGGCTTATATAATTCTACAGGAGTTTAATATTCTTTTGAATGTAAAAAGGCAATGTAACACTAAGATGGCCATGGTTGTTAATGGCTTGTATTAGCTGGGAGCTATAAAATCATCCTAGTACTCTGTTAGTGCTGGAATAATAATTTACCAAGACAATTACCACATGGTGGAACTTTTTTGCTGCTCTAATTCAGTGTTATTAATAATGAATAAAATTGCAATTTTCTCAGGTTGCTAGGGGCAGTGGGGAATTATTTCAATGAATATTTCAGCACATTAGTTTAATCATAGTTCCACAAAATTCAAGTGGGCAATATTTTATACTTTTAAGTTCAGTCTGCTAAGGGACCATAGTCATTAAATTGCAAACTATTTGCACTGAGGTCCATTCTATGATTTACAAGCCTTGTTAAAAACACTGTAAAAGAAAGCAAGCTGTGCCATTAATACTTGTAATTTGATGCTGCATTTGTTAATGGGTTCAGTGTGATTAATGTTTTTAGCAGCGGGCAGAACATTTTGAGGCAGGCAGTGCTGGGGTTTATAATACATAAATGCGTGTAAAGAAACGCTAGAATATTGTAAGTTTTAGTAAAACATGTTTTTACAAGATTGTATTCCACAAATGGGAAAGCAGCAGTGAAATTATACTATAATGTATGTAAATACAGTTCAAGCTGTGGTAGGTGCTGATGTGTGTGTTCTTTATTTTCCAGCCAACTGCATGACTTCTGGCGCTTGGATTACTGGGAAGATGATTTGCGCCGACGGAGGAGATTTGTTCGCAATGCTTTTGGGTCTACTCATGCTGATGCTCTCCTAAAAGCTGCTGTGGAATATGGTCAGTATTAACTCAGCTTAAAAATATAGCTCATGATGCTTTCTTGATGTCCATGAATGCCTGAGAATCATATTCCTTCTTTCTCAAGGACAGTGCTGAGAATTCCTAGGACAACATATTCTTAGAAAATGAATTCTTTCAATTCTTACACTTTAATGAACCAGAAGACTTGAGCTTGTGAGCTGTTAAATTCCCTGATCCCCAAGGGATTCACATTGTACTTCTCTAGCATTCCCAGACGCTAATTTTGAGACACTGGTAAAGCAACTAAACTTGTCTCTCTGGAGTGACTGAATTAAATAGCTCATCCAACAAATGTGTCATAATAGTTCCATGGGAGACATTTTGTGAATGAGGAATTAAAAAATAGCAGAAATTTTATTCTAGCTTGCAAAGGTCAGCCAAAAGTATTTTTTTTTTGTAAATCATGAACTGCATTAGAACTTGTTAACAATAGTAATTTTTAAGGTTTACTTGTGATTTCAGTAGTGAACTGAATACAGAGAAGCTTCAGTTTTAGAAACTGAAGAATTAGATAATATTTGGTTTTCATGGAGATGTAGCTGGAGTATAAAAGAGGAATGAGGTCATGCTTACAGATAGATTCCTCTACAACATGTTAAAGTGTTAAAGTTTCATATGTTTGTGACTTCTGTACAGCAGACTGAATCTGAATACTCAAAAATCTAAAGCAAATTCATTTCTCTGGTCTAAGCTGGGATACCTCTCTAGCATAGCAATGACAGAAGTTTTTTAAAGAATATTATTATAGTTTTCTGGTTTTGTTTTGGTTTTTTTGGGTATTTTGTTGCTGTTGTTTTTGTTTTTGTTCTGAAAAGAAAATACTATGATTCTCTAGCATTTAGGAGTAAAAAATTTAAGTAATCATTCACAAAGCAAGTTGAACCTTTCATCTGATGTTTAGCCAAAGGCTAAGGGTGCCAAAAGTTCTGAATATGACAGATATAAAGCTAACTGTATGACCTACACTTTTCACCAACTTTGTGGTTGTTGAGGCAAATAGCTGGGATCCAAACAAGGTTAGACATATGAATTAATCTCTTTAGTTATACTACCAAGTGGAACTTAATCCTTACTTAAAGGTGAAGGCTATCATGTGCAGGACTTCAAGTCATAAACTTTCCTTAAGGTAGGTTAAAGAGGACATTTCCCCCATTTGTATATGGTATTTCATATTTGACAAAGGGTTATTTTCTCCGTGATCTTCCAAAACATCAGGATAGAGATTTTATGAGAGTCGGGTACAAAACTGTGCTAATTGCTGTGTTGCTTTTGAAAGGCAAATAATCACTAAAACCATGGACTTTGTATGCATATAACACCTGTTAGTGCATTCACCATACAGGAAAATTACAACTCAGATTTGTACACAGATGGTGCTCATCAAACTTAATGGTTACATAAAAATTAACTGTAGACTGAATTTTTCAGAATTTAAAAAATAATTATAGCTTTTCGTATACGTATTAAAATCAACATGAAATTTTAAACTAATATGCATTTAAGTATTCATAATTTCTATCTAGATGTATTTACTTTTCAGAGGATTAAGCCTTTGGATTTTAATACTGAAACTTCTAGCTGACCTTTCTCTGTAAGAAAACATCCTTAACACTGATGTTATTTTTATGCCTCTTGGTGTTCCTAATGAGTTGAATAATTTATGAGGTTGTCATGTGAAAAGGATTTGGTGCAGTTTGATGTACTTCTAGCCTCTGGTGTTGGAATGTGATTAATAAAGAACTAGAGGCAGATTTTTTTAATTTTTTTTTTTCCATAGGGCTTAACTTTCATTGTAGTTGGTTTTTTTTACTGGCTTTGTTTTGATAATTTTGTTTGGAACAGTTTGATGATAAAATGCCCCTAGCGTCCAAAACTGAACATGACATTACACTACAGAAAGAATTTAAAGCATTGAAAACAAAATCAGATTTTTTTATACATCAAATGCATAGTTTTCCAATAACAGATTTTATTTCCTGACCTCAGATACTTCATTTGAGAGAAATAAAGTATTCATCAAAGCAAAATTTGTTGGGCTTTTGTTTCAATTTTTCATCTTGACTGATACCTCTAGTACAAGTAAAGCTGCTTTGAGCATCAGTAAAATAGTGGAAACATCTTACAAGTTTTAGTTATCTACACTGACTGTCCGTTATCATTTAGGATTCTGTGCATAAATATTGCAATGGAGGAATGTTTAGTCAAAGCCTAAGTCAGCAAGCTCCTCAGTGTCTGCGATCAAAGGCATCAACTTAAATAGGTCTGATCAGGCATTGCAGAAGAGGGCAGCCAGTTCCAGCCTCGCAAAATTCACAGAGCAAAGATGACAAAATTAATCAGTCATTTCTTTGGCAGTAAATAATAAGATATGCTGAGGATTGCAGATGAGAGAATTATCAGATTCCTTGGAGATGTGCCTGCTTAACACCTGATTTATGTGAACTTGGGCAGCCATCAAGGTATGACCTTGATAGATAAAAAAGTGCTTTACAGCTCTAGTATTAAATCATATTTGATGTTGGATGTATGGATACTGTAATTATATTATATTTGCAGTCATTAAGGAAGGAGTCTTGGAAATGTAAACTATGTCTATGATCTATATGTTTGTTTTAGAGCAGTAAAACAAATGTTAAATTCTACCTTGAAGGCCTAAAAAGAGAAGTGTTAATTTTAGATGATAGTGACTTCTTCCTGTAGGAAATATTCAATGTTGTTCTACTGGGAAATAATATTTTCTCAAAAAAATTCTGCCACAATGAAGTTTCTATTTAACTACAGTCTGTTAATTAACTTTTCTTTGCACATTTGGATTTCCATTTTTTCATAAAATATCATATGCAAACATATATGTATGAGTGTGTGCATATGTATACATATGAATATATGTTCAAAATACCTGACAAGTAAAAAGCATTGCAATGAGAAATTGTAACATATTTCTATGCCTGTATAAAACTGTGTGAAAAATTATAGCATATTACTATAATTATATACTTAGCTGTCTCTTGAGACTGTTCACATCTAAGTCATAGCAGCATTTACAGGAGATTGACCAGAGAATTTTTCCTTTTGGCTTAGTCTCCTCCATTTCTGAGATTTTAATATTAGGCATTTGATTTGTTTGTAATCTGTTAAAATTACTTTCATACCCAGATTTAAAATGCAAGCATAATTAGTTCAGCGTTGTGTCTGCTGTGCCCTTGTGTTTTAGTGAAATTCTTATCTGAATCAAAATATAGATTCATTTCTCTCTTTTGTGTAGCTGAAAGGATGCTACTTCCTGCAGTATCAAAGTGCAAGCTATAATGGAATTTTAATTACCTGGAACTTTTAGTAGAGTTTTAATTTTATAATGTCAATAACTTAAACAATTCTTATTCTAAGTTTATATGGAACTTCAATGTAAATAAAGAAATTGTAACTGAAAAGAAAGAAAAAAGAAAAATGATTATATACCCTACTTTTCTTCCCCAAATTTTACTACGATGGATATGTGAAATATGCAGATATGACCCAATTCACAGGGATTCTGTACATGTGGTGAAGGAACTGTCTCTTCTAGTTAATCACCTTAACAGTTTACAGTCATTGGAGATTAGCAAAGAGGAGACACTACTGTACCACCCTGCCAGTGAGACAGAATACTGGTACACAAAGGTCAGCATAAGAGTAGAACAGTTCCCTTATTAAGATTTGGTTCTTCAGCCTTTAAAGGTAGTGGTCCACAAATAATTTGTATATAGAGGGAGTACAAGAAAGGCTACGTTTTCTAGTATACACTGAAGTAAATGATCATGAACTCAGAGCCTAAACATACATGTATAAGCTGGTCAAATATATCTAGGGTATGTGCTCAAGAATAGTTAGCCTGTTAAGCTGATTAGCATGATAGATACTAAATGCTTAGAATGAAAAACAAAACAGAAAAAAGGCCTTCACATTGTAATACGTTCAGTTTTTGAAACAAAGCCACAGATCTGTGTAATACAGCCACATATGGCTTTTGAACTTGCATATGTGTTTGGATATCTAATTAGCAACCTTGTTTCAAGGGCAGATGTAGCTGAAGCGGAGTGTAGCTCCTTCTGAGATTTGTCATGGGAACTCAAACAAGGGACTGTCTTCAGAATGGGGCATCTGGGTGTCCCAGAGACCCTAAAGGGAAATTCAATTCTTTCAGGGTCCTCAAGGTTAGAGAAATACTCCAAGAGGAAATTTCAGAAGCTCTTAGCTCTAGAGTAACCCCACAGTGCTGAGAAGTCCAAAGCGGTTTGTTTCCACACCTCCTGAGTTCCATCTCATGGGCTGCTGGGCTCCCAGCCTTCTGCAGGCAGCATTAGAACAAGGTAGAGGGAGGAGTGTCTGGAGAAACTGGCAAGAAACTATGCTCCAATTGTTGTTCCAGAAAGCTAAGACAGTGTTTTAGAAACTTACCTGACGTTCTCAAGCAGTAAGACATACGAAGAAATCAGAATGTCCCATGAACTCAAGATGCTCAATTTCATCATCTCTGTTCAGAAGCTTTGTTGTAAAATGAAGTGCCCTCTAGGAAGTCTGAATGTGTACCTAAAAGCTAGCCTTCATTTCCATCCTTCATTTCAAGTTCTACACTTCAATATATTAGACTGTTGATACTAATGGCATTGCTAAAAATGTAAAGGTGTCTTATGTTGGTGAAAATACTACCATTTTTGCAGCAAATTCAAGACTGTCTGTCAAAGTTACTGTATAAATCATATATATCTAAGAGAGTTAATTTACTTTTTCTCAACTTCATAAAGTTCTCAGATTTCATTATACTTAAATTTTTTTTGTGCATATTGAAAGTCTTGTGTATTTACAGAGCAGTTTCAACAACACAGGTTTCAGAACCAACCATAATAAAACCTGTTTTTTCAGTAACTGGTTCAAAACTGAAAGCAAGTTGAAGTCAACTGATAGTAAATTATTACTTATCAGAGTTTTGCTAGCTG